TCTTTTCAATCCGTCAGGAAATGTTTTAAAATAAAAAGCAAAGTCAAATCCAAAATCAATTTTGAGTAGCCATTGTGTGCTCTTATTTTCCTTCATTTCCTGTTTGTGTTTACACATATGCATTTGATCTTATCTGGGCGATATGTTACATATTGAGGAATTCACAAATCATTCATGGAATTTAGTCAGAACAGTGTTAAAAATGTGACCAGTGCCAAGAGTAATGAGTTGATTAACAGAATATTCAGGAAACATAATATAAAAGAGAAAGAGAGAAAACAAAAAAAGGTAGGTTATCCTTTTTGTTTGGTTGTTTGCCTTGCTGTGGCTGTGTAGTTACAGGGGACAAGTATTTTTCTAGAGTGACATTCAACAGAAGAAAGAACATCTTTCAATTATGTCAGCAATCTTTTTTTCATAATCCTACTCATCCCTTGGCTTTGTTTATACGCATATGTGCTTGCGTTTTCTCTTTGGAACAAATTAAGCTTAGTAAGCAAGGGAAAGGAGGAAGGGAGTAACACTGCCTGTGCAGGGGCAGAGAGAGCGCAACAGAGTAGGTGATGCTTGGGTTGGATTCTAACAGATGATGCCTCCAGTTGGATAAAAATGGGAAGAGATAATCAAGGCAGAAGGACTAGGGATTGTATTGGCACAAAAAGTCACAAACTCGCCCTGGCTGGTTTGGCTCAGCAGATAGAGCATCGGTCTGCGGACTCAAGGGTCCCAGGTTCGATTCCGGTCAAGGGCATGTACCTTGGTTGTGGGCACATCCCCAGTGGGGGGTGTGCAGGAGGCAGCTGATCAATGTTCCTCTCTCATCGGTGTTTCTAACTCTCTATCCCTCTCCCTTCCTCTCTGTAAAAAACCAATAAAATATATTAAAAAAAAAGAGAAAGAACACAAACTTAAAAAAAAAAAAGTGTGGTCAATCATTCCTAACAATTACTCACTTTCAGATGAATATTTGCGTAGAATTAGTAGTGTTGGTGATATAAAATAGAAAAAGCCAACAAAAGATAGAGAAAAGGCCTGACATTTGTAAAGGGTGACTTTTTTTCAGTCCTGATATAAACAAATGTTGAATTATTCATTTCTTTTGACTGGAGGCCAAAATAGTAAACTGGAGATAATTTTTTCAGTAACTTAAAGCTATGAGGTCACATTTCAGTCAAAAGGTAATATTGCATCTTCTCTTCCAAATTCTTCCTGTCCTGCTTAAAGTCACTCCTCTATGAAGGTCGTTGTGATGAATACTTAGGCTGAGGAAGTTGACGGAGGGGGAGGGAGGTTTGAGTGGGACAGTGGTGGGCAGATCATCAAATCATAGCCTGTGTCCTGCCCGGATCCCAGCCCTGAGCTCCAGACCCCAGCACCCAACCACCTACCAAACCCTTGACTTTACAGCCTCAGAGCACTTCAAGCACACCACACCAGTACTGATGCCACCACCTGCACTTTCTCCCGTGTTCTTCAGCTCCCCCAATAAGACACCCGAAACCTGGACATCATCCCTGATTCCGTCTCCCCTCATGCCTCAACCATCGTCACCACGACCAGCACCATTTTCCTGAATGTGAACTAACAGGAGCCAATTACTGAGCAAAATGCTTTGTATTTTCTCATTTGATCTTCATAAAACCCCTATGAAATAGGCCTCTTATCTGCATTTTACCAAAAAAAGAAACTACTGCTCAGAAAAGTTAGGTACGTTTCTCAAAAGCACAGTTTTTTGAGACCTGGTAGCAGTCAGGTCTCTCTGTCTATGAAGCCCACAGGCCCACCACTGCCCGAGGCATCCCTCTCCATCTTTTCTCTTTAGTACCTTCATTCCTTTTCCTTCTCTCTGTTCCCACCACTACTACTTAAGATAAAACCTAATTTCTCATCAGTTTTATTGGAACAACCTCTAGCCCTGAGCCTCAAATGGCTCTTCTCTAAATTGCCACTCAAGAACACATTCTGAAACGGGCCCCAGAACCTCAAATGCCTACAGGTCCCAGGCATTTGCCCTGAAGAAGCAGCAAGCTGCATGATCAGATGAAATACATGCTCCTTCCCGACAGGGCAGCTGATAAGCGACCGACTGCAGCCTAACTCCTCGCTGCAATGCAGCTACTGGTTTTTCAAAAAGCCTGATATCTGCCCTGGCAACTATTTTTTAAAAAATGTTAAAATACTCTAAGTGAAACCAAATCCAACTATATGTCAGATCTGACCCAGCAGCACCAGCTTAAGACCTCTGAAATATAAATTTGATTATGTGCTGTCCCTGTTTAAAATCTTTACAATGCCCCTCGACAACTCTGGCACAAAAGCCAGTCTAATTAGATGACATCAAAGGCCTCCCCTGAGCCCGCCCATCCTTACTTATTCCACAGCATCTCTCATCAGATTCCCTTCAAACACACCACCCAGTGCTGGACTAGAGTTCTTACATTTCCTGGAACGTGCCCCTTGCCCTGTGGCTTCTGAAGTTTTAATGCATTTTTCTGTCTGGCCAGGGTGCCCTCCACTTGACAGATCCCTCAGGACTTAGCTGGGCCACTAGTCCTTCACTCCTGGTCTGAATACACCCCGAGACATGCTCTTGCAGTATCCTATCTCAAAACACATCTGTATCAAAACACAACTCTCATCAATATTGTCCTCCTCTGTGGTCCTTCAACACTGACCATAATGACATGAATGCCCAGAGCTTCCTCTAACTGATGTGGTATCTGCAGTGGTTGACCCAGGGTCAGGCAGATGCTAGCGCTCGATATGTGTTGAATAAATAAATCAACTGAATAGCACTGAGTGTATGAAATCGTCCTTGATCCTCTCCAGTTGGAAGTGATTCTTCCTCCTCTGCACAACCTCAACTCTTCATCCCTAACTCTTTCCTACCTTAGAATACTGGAAGGAATGGGACAGCCTCTTACCACTCAGCTCCTTGCAAGCAAGAGTCCACGTCTTACCAGTCTTCGCAACTCTCCCAGCAACCACCTTCACTCCTTGCCCCTAGTGAGCTCTCCAATGTTTGTCAAATCAATCACAGTAACTCTAAGTGCAATTTCAGTTTGCGAAGTAAGTGTGCATCAAATAAATCATAGCATCTGTAGTGGTAGCTCTACAGTTAAATTCTAGTTCCTTCGGTTCCTTTTCTTTGGGTTAGGTAACCAAAACCATACTCCAGTCCGAGGTTTGCAAATTGTCTCCTTTTCACTTCTCTTTGAGTTACACACACACACACACACACACACACACACACACACACACATATTCATTTGCAAAAAGCAATATGAACTTCATTAGAGAAGTGATTATTTTCAAAAGATGGGCAGGGTAAACAAAATGTATTTAAAAACATGCAATACTATGGATACTACAATGGACCCTAATAAACACAGTTCAAAATTCATTTGTTCTATGTATCATCACACACTAATAGTAGCAAGCATTTATCAAGCCAGCAACAATCCTGCAAAATAGGTTTAGAGAGTAGAAATTGTGGCTCAGAAAAGTTAAATAAAATATCTAATATCTCATGGTCTTCAAGTGACAGGAACAGGTCCTGTACCCAGATCTGTTGGTGACAAAGCCCACTTTCTACTCTCTCTATGGCACTGCCTCCCTAACTCAGTCATAGCTCAGCTAGTTAATTCTGGAACTGTGAGTAACTATAAGACACAGACACTTGAACTTTTTTAAGTCTCTCTGAAGAAATTCCTTAACTTTTATTTCTAGCATTACCAATTTTGTTCCCAAATGTTGTTATCAAAATCCTCTCTTTCATCTATCCGGTGAAAGTATGTTGTCTTCTTGGCACCAATTTAATTAAATAGAATTTTACATATTTCACCAAAATTTTCCACTGAAGTGTCAGTAGGGTGATCTGTTCAGTGGCATTATTCACTTCCAAAAATACTTTAAACAAGGAACACTTTATGTACCAAAAAGAATAGCATGAATAGTTGTAGGCGCTACTATAACATCTTATATCTTTTATACAAAAAAATATTTCTTACCTGAATTTTTCCATGAAGAATTAATATGAATACAATTCCCTCAGGTTAATGATAGGCTGGTGTTAGTAATTTCATTTGGTGAACTTTGTGGGTTTTTTAAAATTTGCTTCTTTAAGTATTAAAAATATAAACTGTCCCTTTAGGTTAGAATGGAGGTCAATTTATTAGATTCACAAAATAAGAAAAAGAAATTACAAACTGAAAGGGAAAAGTTTAATGTAATAACTGAAATAGAGTTAACTTAGTATAATTATGAACAGAATAAACACATCTCTAAGGAACATAGTTCTCCCCACAAAAGCAACTCAAAAAACCACAACTAATGTTAAGTTTTATTGATTAATTTTGTGAAGTTATTATTTAGAAGTTATGCCTTTTAAGACATATATTAGCCAAAATTATTGCAAGAAATATGTTCATCTAACCTTTGAGCTGGCACCTTATCCTGGCTATTCTCTGCCTTAAGACGTAGAAAGCTGCAAAACAAATGTCCAAAAAAAGAAATTCCAGATCTTTTCTCTGTAAGGAGGCGGAACTTGGGTATTTATCAACTTGTTACATTCCCGGAGACTTACACATATTCAACTTTCAGTGCTTTTCTGAAACAAAAAAAAATCTAGGACATGTTTAAAATAGTAATATTTTAGTCACCATTTTGTCATTAGAAAACATTTTGTAACAAAAATATTAACTAATAACTGAAGTTGTGCTATTCTTTCATAGTCCAAATTCTAAGTTAAAATATTCAGACCTTTTGTGACACTGTACCTTCCAATCCAATTTTTCACTTTTCAGAATATTAATTTTTGGTTCCAAGAGACAGTATCCTTTTATTTAAATGTGTGTTGGACAAAGTATCTGAAAAAAATTAAAACCTTTGATCAATTAGTAACCAAGGCTGGTAGATTTTAAATCGGATATATCTTTACTTACCTGCTTTCTTAGATACTGTGTGTTCCCTTTTCTCTTCAAATTTGGGGAAGAAATATTAAGGGTTTTTTTTCTTTCCTTCCACAGCATTTTCTTCTTGCATGGCTGCTTTGGTTGTCCATAGCAACAAGAATTACCCTGAAAGCTCAGCCATTTCACTTAAAGGATACATAAATAACTCAGTTTAATGAAAGTAAATGGAAGAAACTTGAAACACAACTAATAATGGTCAGGATTTGACCAGCCTAGAGACCCTAGAGGTAAGGGAAGAGATTATTTTATTACCTCTCTTTTGCATTAACATCTTACCTCCTTAAAGCATAAAACACTCACTTTAATTTTCAATTTGTATATTTATTTGTAGAATTTAAAATTAGATGAATAGAGCCTTCTTTTGGGCACCAGCAAAAGAAAACAATTCTATGTTCAATTTGAATTAATGTTGTAGTAATTTTATCAGGGCAGTATTATTGCTCTATATTTTTAAAGGCACATATTAGATTTCCTTGTTAGAGATTTTTTATGTTGGTTAGGTTCATAAGAAATCAGTGGGGATTTTTTACTGTTGTTAACTTCAAAAGAATTCACCATACCTTGATGTTGATACATTTCTTAAAATAGATAATGAAACATATCAGGTACAATCTAAACAAAAATCTGAAAACAAATCAAAGCATAAACTAAAAATTAGATTGCAGATCACATATTAAGAACAATTGTTTATAACAATGGTTATATATGAGAAGGGAAAAATATAAAAGGATACCGTTTCTTTAATACTTTTTAATTGCCAATTTTGAATCTAATTCTCAAGAAAAATATATTAAATGATTTTAAACAAAGGTTTAAACAATAAAGAATAGCAAACATCATTATTTCCTAACAAGCAGCCAAACAGTTCTGTATAATTTATTTTCATTTTAGAATATCGTTAAGTTGGGTCACATTTTTCCTACTTAACAGAAGTCAGCCTTGACAGAGATTTTGTGAATTTTATAATATTGATATATATACATCCACTAATAAGGCTTTTAGCATGAAACTTTAGCAAATGCCCCATATTTTAACACTTGCATTTTTAAACTATACAAAACTGCATTTTAAAGAAATGTTAAACCTGGAAGAGATTATTTCCAGGAAGTTTCTGGAATCTATTTTCTTTTGACACATAAGGAAATTTTCATAGGCAACCACCACCATAATCTTTGTGAAAGTTGCCAAAAATAAATGCACTACATGTATTTTTTTGCATGTGGTATAAACACCACCGTGAGAAGCACTAAAATAGGATTCATTAGTAGCACCTAATATAGATGATCCTGTCTCATTTCCTCCTAATAATCTGTGTTCTTTACAGCCAGTGTAAAACAGCCACAGCAGTAAATACAGGCAATGTTACCAGCGAGTCCCCTCAGTTCTCTCCTGCCACTTGCCCGAGAACCGCTGCTTAGATACCTCTGAGGCTTCTCGGCGATGCTATGCACTTCACTGAGGGCCCTCAAGGATGTTAGGCATAGTTAAAAACAATAAGCACTCTGGTGACTTTATGAAATTGTGACTAATATAAGCCAGAGAAGCTAAATTATTCAGGGATTACTCCCTGCGTGCTAAACACAGGTTTATAGACTTGGAGGCAATCCTGGGCTGTGGACGGTGTTAAAGAAAATGAGGGATAAGAAACCCTAAGGAACTGAGCCTACTTATGATCCAAATGTATGTCTATCATCTGGTATATAGTTTAACTTGCTGTAAAGGATTATAAAATGCCCAAATGTTAGGCCAATCATAATCATTGGCAAATAAATAATAAAATGCTTCAGGCTAAGATAACGGATGCAGTTTCCACGTGACTCAGACAGGACTCGCACGGCCTCTTGAGCACATAGAGCATAGCCTGACACATGTACCTCCTTCTAGGTGACAAATGCGAGGTACATGCATGGAAGGGAAAGGTCCCTCCTGACACTGTACATCTACTTCTCAACCCTAGTCTTTAGCTAGAAAGTAACTTTAAAAATTCCCCATGCCCAACTTTAAACGTCACGCCATATTTCTCATCGTCAAAAAAAGTTACTGTTAACTAGACCACCAATTTACACCATACACAAGAATAAACATGAAATAGATAAAAAATGTAAATGTAAGTCACAAAACCATAAAAATCCTAGAAGAAAACATAGACAGTAAAATCTCAGATATCTGGTGTAGAATTTTTTTGCCAATATATTTCCTAGGGCAAAGGAAAAAAATAAACAAATGGAGCACATCAAGGTAAAAAGCTTCTGCACAGCAAAAGAAACCATCAATAAAATGAAAAGGGAACCTACTATATGGGAGAACGTATTTGCCGATGTTACAACTGATAGAGGGTTAATCTCCAAGCTATACAAAGAACTTATACAACTCAACACCAGGAAGACAGACAATCCAATTAAAAAATGGGCAAAGGACCTAGATAGACACTTCTCTAAAGAGGATATATACATGGCCAATAAACATATGAAAAAATGTTCAATGTCACTAATTTTCAGAGAAATGCAATTTAAAACTATAATGAAGTATTAACTAACACTTGCCAGAGTGGCTATCATCAATAAGTCAACAAACAGCAAGTGTTGAAGAGAATATGGAGAATAGGGAACCCTAGTCCACTGTTGGTGAGAATGCTGACTGATACAACCTTTTTGGATGAAACCCAAAACAGTATGGGGTGTCCTCCAAAAATTAAAAATGGAACTGCCTTGACTGGCTAGTGTGTCTCCGTGGTTGAGTGGAGATCTATGAATCAGGAGGTCACAGTTCGATTCCCGATCAGGGCACATGCCTGGGTTGCAGGCTCCATGCCCAATAGAAGGCATGCAGGAGGCAGCTGATCAATGATTCTCATTATTAATGTTTCTATCTCTCTCTCCCTCTCTATTCCCCTCTGAAATCAATAAAATATACCTATTTTAAAAAGAAAACAAGTTTTTAAAAAATGGAACTCCCTTTTGACTCAGTGATCCCACTTCTGGAAATATATTCTAAGAATTCTGAAACCCTAATCAGAAAGAATATATGCACCCACATGATCATAGCAGCATTATTTACAACCAGAGGCCTGGTGCATGACATTCATGCACCTGGGGGCAGGGGAGTTCCTCAGCTGGCCTGCACCCTTTCACGGTCCAGGAGCCCTTGGGGGATGTCCTACTGACGGCTTAGACCCGCTCCCGACAGAACGGGCCTAGCCTGGCAGTTGGACATCCTTAGCACTGCCACAGAGGCGGGAGATGCTCCTGCCACCACTGCTGCACTCACCAGCCTTCAGCCTGGCCTCTGGCTGAGCAGTGCTCTCCCTGTGGGAGCACACTGACCACCAGGGGCAGCTCTTGCATTGAGTGTCTGCCCCCTAGTGATCAGTGCGGGTCATAGCAACCAATCATTCTACTGATCAGTCGATTTGCATATTACCCTTTTATTATATAGGACTAGAGGCCCGGAGCACAAAAATTTGTGCACTCGGGCGGAAGGGGGGGGTTCCTCAGCCCGGCCTGTGCCCTCTCACAGTCTGGGACCCCTCGGGAAATAACGTCCTGCTGGCTTAGGCCTGCTCCCGAGTAGCAGAGGGCAGGCCCAATCCCTAGGTGCAGCCCCTGGTTGGGCTCAGAGCAGGGCTGATTGGGGAGTTGGGGTGCCACCCCCTGTCATGCACAGAGCAGGGCAGATTGGGAGGT